GTCAACTACCAGTGGGTGTAGAATAAGGAGGGAACCTAGTAGCCTGTTGTCTTTTTTAAAAACTTGAGGTGAAATTCACTTTAAAAACTAACCATTTTAAAGTGCACAGTTCAGAGGCATTTAATCCATTCACCACCATCTCTACCTAGTTCTAAAACAATCTCATTACCCCCAAAGGATTCTTCATAGACATTAAGCAGTCACTACTCATTCCCCTCTCCCTCAGCCCCTGGAAACCACCAATATGTTTCCCCCACCAGGGGTGGGTAGGTACCAGGGATTGAACTCAGGGGCACTCAACTACTGAGTCACATCCCCAGCCCTATTTTGTATTTTATTTAGAGACAGGGTCTCACTGAATTGCTTAGTGCCACACTTCTGCTGAGGCTGGCTTTGAACTTGTGATCCTCCTGCCCCAGCCTCCTGAGCCGCTGGGATTACAGGCGTGCATCACTATACCCAGCAATGTTTTTTTTTTTTTTTTTTGTCAATGGACCTTTATTTATTTTTATGTGGTGCTGAGAATCGAACCCAGTGCCTTACACATGCTAGGCAAGTGCTCTACTGCTGAGCTACAACCCCAGCCTATCCAATATGTTTTTATTTGAAGATAAAGTGATCTGTACCTGGAAAATGAAGAAAATCAACTGAAAAAATAGTATTATAAACAATAAATAAGCTCAGGAGGAGGCTCCATACTATCCTAAGACCTTAATGAGTCACCAGGATTCTTGGGAACCCATCAGAAATCCAGTGGCTGGTCAACTCTAACAGGTCCCTTCTGTCACTGAGCATAGGATTATTTTTCTACTATGGAAGAAATATTTATTCTATATTAGGGTTTCCTTTCCTTACAAGACACACCTTGAACTATTTCACCATTCCTGGAATGGTGACTTTGCAATTAACACAGGGTGGTCCAGATAAAATTTTCACTTCTCAGTGAAAGAAATAAGACAGTTGGCCAGCCATGAACCTTTATCATATTTCCTATCTACCAGAAGCAGCTGGCCTTATAGAACAATAAAGTAGTCCCCTGAAAACTGATCTAGCAGTATCCAGGAGACCACACCTGCAAGGCTGAGACACTGTTTGCAGATAGAGATACAGGATCCCAGCTGGGCCTGAAATTCTCCCTCAGCTAGGACAAAGGACCAAAAGCCAAGGGTTGAGGGGGAGAGTGGCAGCTGTCATGATTACCATTCTCTTTTAAAATATTTATGTTCCATCTCCCAAGTCACTCAGGCTCTGTGGACTTAATAGCTCAAGAGCAGGGTATTCCCACCAGGGCGCCCAACTATTTGGTACTCCTTCTGACACTAAGCAATGGCAGTGTCCCCAAAACTGGCGGTGCTGCCCCTGATTATGAAGGGGAAATAGGGTTGTTAGTCCTTGATATGACTTGGGTGGAGTAGAGATGGGAGGAGAATGAACTCCTTGGTTGCTCTTGCAGGCCACACCCAGTAGCAAAAATTAACAGAAAACTACCAGAATGTAATGAATGTTCCGTTTTAGTTTTTTTTTTTTTTCCCACTCACTATTGATGGTAGCTAAATTTACCAACTTATTCAAGGTTTCAAGATGGGAAGAAATAACCTTTGGCTCACAAGAAGCTACAGAAGGGATGTTTAAAGTGGACTGCAAAGTCCTGTTTGCATATCTGAATGTGACTTAGTGTGGCCTACTTTTAGGGATGTTGAAGTGCATTTGTAGCTGTGATAACTAAGGAAACCCAGTATTTACTTCTGAGCCCTCTCCTATTCTCTGTCTATATGCAACTTCATCTGGTCCCAGGGCTGTATGTAACTTCCATATACTGATGACTCCTAACCCTACATTCTCAGCTCTGGCCTCACCTGGAAATCAGGACTATACCTCCACCTGCCTACTTTATCAACCCTTTGAAGGCCTCACAAGGATCTCAATATGTCCAAGCAATACTGATTTCTAGATATCAGCATCCCTTAACCTGCTCTTCCTCAGTCTCCCCTTTAAAATAAATGGCACCCATGAGTCACTCAGATGCTTAAAACAAGAATCTAGATATCCTTTCCAATAGGGTAGCCTACTAAACCACATATGGCTATTTAAATTTAAGTTTTAATTAAATAGGAAATGGGAACATAGCTCAGAAGTAGAGGATTTACTTACCATGCAGGAGGCCCAAGTTCAATCTTCAGCATTGCAAGAAATAAAATATAAAAAATTCAGACTCTTATTTTTTTCTTTTTATTGGCACAGTATAACTATACATAACAGTGGGATTTGTTATAATATATTCATACATTCACACAATAAAACAGTATAATTTGATCAATTTCATTCCCCAGTACCTCACCTTTCCCTTCCCTCCCTCCCCCATCAGCTTCTTCTATTCTACTTGTCTCCCTTCAATTTTTTTTTAAAAGTTCTAAATAGTTACACATGACAGTAGAATGCATTTTGATGCATTGTACACAATTGAAGCACAACTTCTTATTCCTCTGGCTGTACATGGTACAGAGTCACACTAGTAGGGTAATCATACATATATATATATAGGGTAATAATGTCTGTCTCATTCTACCGTCCTTCCCATCCCATAGCCCCACCCTCCCCTCTGCACAATCCCAAGTTCCTTCATTCTTCCCCACTCCCTGCCCCCCACTAGGATCAGCATTCACTTATTAGACAAAACATTTGGCCTTGGGTTTTTTGGGATTGGCTTATTTCACATAGCATGATGTTCTCTAGTTCCATCCATCTACCTGTAAATACCATAATTTCATTGTTCTTTAAGGCTGAGTAATATTCCACTGTGTACATGTATCACATTTTCTTTATCCATTCATCTGTAGAAGGGCATCTAGGTTGGTTCCATCATTTAGCTATTGTGAATTGTCAATCTCTTAGTTTTACTAGCTACATTTCAATTTTTAACAGCCCTATGTAGCTAGTAGGTACTATAATGAACAGTGAGACATAGAATATTTCATTATAACAGAAAGTTTTGGACAGTACTTCTCTAAAGAGGTTGCCATTGGCTCTTCCTTCTTCACCTCCCACATTTGATTCATTAACAACTGTCAATGGTTTTATATCCAAAACATCCCGTGATCAAATTCTCTCCCACTGTTGAAACCGCTTCTCAATTGCCCTACTTCCAATATTACTCACCCACAACCATTTCTCCTACATTGACTAGAATGAAGTTTTTAAAAATATTTTTTAGTTGCCAATGGATTTTTCACTTTATTTATTTATATGTGGTGCTAAGGATTGAACCCAGGGCCTCACACATGCCAGGCAAGTGCTCTACCACTGAGCCACAACCCCAGTCCTACTAGAATGAATTCTTTAAAACTGAAAATAATATCAAGTGTTACCTTTGCTTTAATCCTCCAATGGCTTTGTCGCAGAGACTGTGGCTTTATCCTAATATCCCTTCTCCCTTATTCGGTGTTAGAAACTCTGGAACTTAGATAAGCACATGGAAGCCCCAAATAAAGAATATATTTTCCAGAGTATTTGAACTTAGGTGTGGTCACATGACCAAATTATAGCCAGTGAGATGAGAACCAACAGGGTGGTATGCAATTTCTTCCCAGGTCCTTAAAACAGTGGGCTCTTTCCTGCTACCCAACAGGCACGATGACTAAAGCTAGACTAGATCATGAGTGAACATGGGATAGAGGTGAGGCACTATGGAGCAACAAAATGAAAAAAGCCTGGGTCCTAAACATAGTTTGAGGTTTTCCATCATTGTGGAAAATTATATTCTAACTAGATAGCTTCCCATCATACATAGAAAATCCAAACCTTGCTGCTTCAACACAGGAAGCTCCATCTTGCTGTAGGGTTGCAGTTGTTTTTGTATCTGCCTGGGATGCTCTTCCTCCTCAGATGTCATCATGACTGACTCCTTTTTGTTATTCAGGTCTCAGTTTTAAAATCACTGTTTTAGAGATGGTTTCCCACGAGGACCGATGAGACAGTGCATGCAAAATTTTCCTGTGAAAGTTTTAAAATTAAAGTGACATCCTCGGAAAAAAAAAAAAAAAAAAAGAGAGAGAGAGAGATGGTTTCCCTCACCAACCCTCTCCAAATTACCCAACCAATCATTCTCTTTTCCAAGATTTTAGTTACTTGCATACAAATTATCACTAACTGATGATTCTTCCACTTGTTCTGTGTCTGCTTCTCCCCATCAGAATGTAAATTCCACAAGGATAGAGATTTTGAGCGCTTCACTGCTGTATTTCCAGTGTCTAGAATGTACCGGAAACCCAGCAGACACTCAGTAAGTGTCAAATGAAAAATCAAATACTACTTCACCAAACATGATGATTAAAAGTAGGGTTTAAAAAGCCAAGACTCAGATTCGAATTCCAGCCAGGCCACGTACCAGTTGCATAATCCACTCCAAACGATTTAATCTGTAAAATTAGTATCCTACCTATGACTTTGGGCAGGAATACACGAAACAGCATTATTAAAGCACTCTCTTTCCTTCTCCCTCCTCCTTTCCTCTCTCCCCCTCATATGGCCACTTTTCTGTTATGCGTGTCATTCCGCGCAGCCTAGAGCAAGACTTTGAAATTTGGCGGCAATTATCACAGTCCGCAGGACTAGATTTGCGCAAGCGCAGAACACCTCCTCTACCTCGCGCGCTAACTTTGAGACCTCGACAGCCAATCAAAGTTAGCGTAAGAACCCTAGAGCGGAGAAGTCGCAAAGCGAAACCGGGAGGCGGGCCCTGGTGGAGGCAGTGGCGAGAGTGGGCGGGGACAAGAAAAGGGCACGCACAGTTCTTGCAGCCGGGGTCTCTGCGGGCCAATGGGAGAAGCTTGAGGCCTGAAAGCAGTGGGGCGTGGCTTTGGAGGCTCCGGCAACCGGAGGCTGTCCCAGCTCGGACCAATCATAGTGAAGAGGTGGGAGAAGATTAGCCAATCTACGTGCAGGACAGGCGAGGCAGGGGGCGGTGGAGTCTCGCGCGGACGCCGCCGGCTCCTGAGCTTCTGTCAGGGTTGCTGGGCGTGCGAAGGCGGCGGAGGCGGGAAGGTGGCAGTGGTTGAAGGAGCGATTCCCGAGTTGTGGGGAGGAGGTCGGAGGGAGGTGGGCAGCGATGGTGATGGCGGCCAAAAAGGGCCCAGGCCCGGGTGGCGGAGTCGGCGGGGGAAAGGCGGAGGCGGAGGCGTCCTCGGAGGTGTGGTGCCGCCGGGTGCGGGAGCTGGGTGCCTGCAGCCAGGCCGGGAACCGCCACTGCTTCGAGTGCGCCCAGCGCGGGGTCACCTACGTGGATATCACCGTGGGCAGCTTCGTCTGCACCACCTGCTCCGGCCTCCTGTGAGTGGACCGGCGGGGGGAGGACAGGGAGCAAGGGCAGAGAGCCAGCCCGGGGGACCACGGGGATCCCAGGTGGTCGGGGAGGCCCAGATCCAGGGGCGAGGGCGGCGGGGGAGGACACAGTCGCGCCAGACACGGTGAGAGGGTCGTCTTCTGTAGAGGTGTTGGGAAGGGAAGCAGAGGGGAGAGAAGAGCAAGCTGGAGTCGCGTTGCGGAGAGAAGGGTGGGGGCTGAGGAAGGACACCCGGAGACGATGGAGAAATTCCCTGAAGGAGGCGAGGCGAACTGCAGGTGCGGAGACAGAAAGTGTGGAGAATTGAAGGGAACGTGGGGTGAGCTAATGGAGTAGGGATTTAAAGGGCCAGAAAATGGCATACACCTTTAAAGGAAACTTCTTGTAGGTGGAAGGCAAAAAGGTAGGGAAAGCTGGACTCCAGATGAATAGTGCCCCCCCCCCCCCCCTTTCTGGCTTGTGCCCCTCCTGAAGTGTCAGATGCAGGAACCAGTTGAAAATAGGTGAGTTAACCCAGTCTAGAGATAGTATCAGATAGGGAGCCAGGGTTCAGGTGCAGACCTAATCTTGCAGAGCTTTGGAATGCTACCCAGAAGGTTGACTTCTTACGAAATCTCAATAGTTGAGAACCAGAGGGTTACCGTAGTAGAGAGCTTAACTTTTTCAAAAAGTATGGGATGAGACATCCTTAAATATAATCATTTACACCTTTTTGTTTGCCTGCATCTAGTCAACTCTTTCTAAATTGGGTAGGGTTTGTAATGCTACCCTTGACAGTGACACTGTATTTGATCATGCCAGAGATACTTCAGTTCTAGCCCAGATTTCTGCTTATATAGTAAGGTTCCTTCACCCCAGCGAATTATCTGATTAGATGCTTGATTAACATCTGATACCATTCATAGATCTCTGGTCTTTTTTTTTTTTTTTTTTATAAGTTTCCAAGGGATTTATTTTGCCCTTTTTTTAGTATTAATATACGTTATTTTCTGAACAAGAAAAGCTTTCCTTGCTCTTACACCTTTAGGAGCCAAAAAATAAGCAGTATTGTTCTTGCATGACAGATGGGAGAACAGAAGCAAAGAGGTTTAGTAACTTTTCCAGTGCCATATGGGGGTTGCTGTTTTCAGCACTTGTTGTTTGATATTAGTTATGATCGTGGCAGACCAGAAATGAGGAATTTCTGGAAACCTAAGATACTGTTTGGAACTATTTCTCTACTTTGTTTTACCTCCTTTGTCACATTTATATGTTCTGATCATCCTCACTCATATGTTGTAAGGATGAACTTCATTTTGGTCTGAGTAAAAGCCATTGTGACTCTTGGGACAATAATTTAGAACCCAAAAAGGAGTGTGCCATGAGACCAATTCTCAAATGAAGTAAGAGAGTAGAGACTTGAGACTGAGACAAATACTCTGTGAAGACAAGGAGGAAAGTTTGGGAATTATTTATGTAGCATAATGTAGAAAGAGAAAGGGCTGATTCCTGAAGATGCTGTTATGAAAAGGAAAATTGGGTTAGAAGGCCTGGGAAGAAATAAAGGAAAGTAGGGGGGATAACATGGATGGTCCCCAAGAGCTAGGTATTGGAAGAAAATATCAGGAAATGGTGTTAATCCATTTCTTGGTTAGTGGTGATGGCATGGAAGATAGAAGTCTGAATAAATAGGCAGTGCTCTCACATCATTATCATTTTCTAGATCTTGATTTAAAGTATTCCACAAATAACATTTCACTTCTGTAATGAGTATCCCTCAATCAGGACAGAAGGAAGGCCAAGGGATCTGGGCCACATTAAAAACCTGATTTCTTTTGGTGGAAATGTTAACTCCTTAAATATTGATGGACAATTTTCAGAACCTTACCACTTTTCCGCATGGTCCCTATCACTATTGTGGGTCTCACTAATGAAAAGTCAGATGCCAGTGATCAGGGCATACGCTAGATGGAGGTGGCTATGGCCTAAGGATTGATAGTTTAACAGGGAATTATCTAAGGAGGCCTGTATCTCTCTGGAATGTATGAACCTCAAACTAAGTGAAACTCCTTAGGGATATACATTCCTGTGGGACCAAATAAGAAGAATCAACTAACCCTTTTGAAGATTCAGGAAATTCTGGGGCGGGGTTATAGCTCAGTGGTAGAGGGCTTGCCTCGCACTTGTGAGGTACTGGGTTTGATCCTCAGCACCACATAAAAAAATAAATAAAAAGATATTGTGCCCATCTTTTAAAAATATGTTTAAAAAAAAAAAGATTCAGGAAATTCTAAGCCAGGCATGACAGTGCATGCCTATAATCCCAGCAACTCAGGAGGCTGAGGCAAAAGCTTCGCAAGTTCCAGGCCAACCTCAGCAACTTAGTGAGACACTCTCAAAATTAAAAAAAAAAAAAAAAAATTAAAAGGGCTGAGGATGTAGCTCAGTGGTAGAGCACTACTGAGTTCAGTCCCTAGTACTGCAAAAAGAATTTCTAGAAAGGATGTATTTTGGTAAAACTTTATGAGAATTACTGAAGGAATGAATTCTGGAGACAGTAGACTTTAGAGAACATAATTTTGGAAGTTAGGAAATGAGAAGTGAGGACAACACTTTGTTAGCAGGAAGTAAGAGTTGAGTGAAGGATCAAGAGACTGGGCCAATGAATAAGGCTGAACTGAAGACATGGTGAGATAAGAAGGAGAGAAATATCAGGGAAAACTCTTAAGAGAGCTGGAGTTCCCCAGGCTATGACTGTTTGCCTAGGCTGTGGTGGAACTTCTCATTAGAAATTGGATTTCTGATAAGCATGGACTAGGGTAAGGCATATAAACCTTTTACAGGGATCTTAAAGTATTACCTTGTCCCTGCTATGGGAAGGGCTAGGAGCTGGCAGGTATGCAGAATATGTGAGGCAGGGGATGCCTTTTTCTGGCTGCCAAGTGAAGAGGGCACATAGTCCAGCAGACAATGAAGAGTCCTGGTCCATAGTAACACGCAGACCAGTTAGCATCTTAAGTCCATGTGTTGATTGACATAGATTAGAATTTTGTGGTAGTGGGAAGTGAAAATTATGGTAAGCCAACAACCTGCACATTTATTCATTCAGTTAGCTGACAAATGTTTCTTGAGTCCCTATCAATGTTTTAGGTTCTGGAGATAACGGTAGCCGCAAAACCTCCATCTTCATATAGTTTGCTTCCTAGTGAAGGCCATAAAGAAGTTCTTCTGGGCTGGGATGTTGCTCAGTGGCAAAGCATCTGCCTTGCATTTGCAAAGCCCTGGGTTCAACCCCCAGTTCAAAAAAAAAAAAAAAGACAAAAAAGAAAAGGAAGTCCTTCTATATATAATTGTAGGTAGTGGTAAGTGCTTTGAAGTAAGATAAAGCTTAGTTGGGTTAGAGAGTGATAGGAGCTCACATTGAGATATGATGCAAAGAGAATATTCTTTGTTAAAATGAGGGGCATTTTGAAGGGACATTTTTTAAATACCATCCTCAGCAACCCAGCCAAAGAAAGAAGACAGCAGGATTGGCTTTATTTTGAAGGCCAAATTTTCTGTTGACTGTGTTACAAATATGTCTATCTCTTAGGAAGAGGGCATCTTCTGAGGGCAGTGAGAGAACTGCCAGGGGTCTCAGCTGGCTGGTTTGGCTGATGGAGCAAAGCTGACTGTTCCAGCCAAAGTTGAATTTCCTAAGATCTGAAGAAAAATCCACATTTTAATATTGGTGGGTGGGTATGACTCTGCCTTCATCCCTGCGTGGATGAGCTCATTCTTGCTCTTTTTTAATGGGAAATATTTTTTCAACTGTAGGAAATACCTATAGCGTTGGTGTGAGGGCCTGAGAGAGGCTGCTAGTTTCTGTCATTTCTAAATTTACATATGTGCTGCCACAATTGTAGGTCCCAAATTTGACCTAGTTTTATTGATTTGGTTTTCTTCCAATACCTAATTTCCTTAACCTGGATTCAGATCCTTTTAATTTTCCCATATGCTTATTTATTTAGTTACAATTTCAACTCCCCTACTAGAGGATGAGCCTGCCATTTAATGCTTTATATGGGGTAGAAATTGCTACTAAAAAAGCATCTATTTCAAAGTAATGCTTTGAATATTCTTTCTTGTTCTGGTTTATCTGATTACCTCTATGGATAAAAGACTTTTCTTCAGAAAGAAAATTGACACCGAGGCCTGTGGTCTTGTTGACATCAGGGATGGTCACTGACTTTGACACCCATTTTTTTTCAGTCAATTTATGACATGCTTCCATGACCTGGTTGTTTGATCCTCCTTTAGTCCCTTGGGTCTCAATAGTGGAGACTTATCCCTTCTACTTCTGCCTACCTTTACTTTAATAATGGAAATCAACTTAAGGTGGGTAGAGCTCCGGGCTAGGTGTCAAGAGATGTACTTGACAACTGTTATATAACTAACAGATTCCTACACTACTTGTGCCTTAGTTTCCCTGTCTGGCTTATTACTAGTAGTTATGAGTTGAAGTATTTGTGTCTCCATGGAAGGAAAGGTGTAGTATGTTGTTCAATAATTCAGTACTTTTCCATCTTTCTGGGTTGAGGAGGTGTACATATACCTTGCGCCTAATGAGTCTCTTTGCTCCCTCCCTACCTCCCTCACCTTTTATATTCACCTCTGCTGGCATAAATGGACTGGGCAGGCTACTAAATGACTGATTTAGGCACTTTATTATAGGGGCCCATGAACAACTAGAAAAGCCCCAAGGAAGTAACAAATTACCGAAAGATATGAAAAGAAGAAGGGGAAATGAGAACATGTAAAAATGTTTTGGAATTGAGACTAAAGAGGAACATAGCTGGTAACACTATCAGGCCTCTACCAGGCTCTGTCCAATAGGAGAGCTGTTTATTATTTCTGCTGAGGAATAACAAAGGAAATGGGTTAGAGCAAAATTGAGATTAGAAAAAGTTTCCCTAAAATTAGTGATATTGACCCTGGAGCAGATTAAAAGAAAAGCCTTCTATTTGGAACTTTTCAAAGGGACTCTTAGTAGTTTGAGTCCGAGAAGCTAAATGGTTTAGCTGTCATCTGCTTAGGCAGAGGAGTGGAATCCCAGGAACAGAGAAACCCATTCTAGGGTATATGGATTTGAACATAAATATTAAGAGGTGAGGAATTCCCAAGTTCAAATTTGGCACAAATAAAAGAACTTGGGTGCTGGGTGGAACTGGTTTTTTCCATTGTTGACCTGGCAGAACCTTCTTATCTGAGCAGCTGAGCAGGTTTGATGCTTTTATGGAGCCAGATCGAAGCAAAATATAGGCCAGCTTGAGGGTGATGACCACAGGAAAAGCAAAAGGTGTGGTATTTGTGGAAATGGTTGTATGCTTCGTGGAACCAAGGGAGAGGAGAGAGAAGGAAAGAGAATTGGGCAGACTAGAATTTACACGGGCAAGACTTGCCAAGTATTTCAGAGTACTTCAAATGTTGTAAGGAGCCTAGTGAAAAAGAAACTAAAGTAGATAAAGACAGCACAACTAGCTTAAGGCTTGAGTCCCAGTAATATGCCTGCTTTCAATTGGAAAAATGCGCCTTATTTTGGACAAATTGATATCTGTTTTTGCCTAGCACCTTGGGGGTAAAAGTAACAGAAAGGATCTGCTGTGATAACAGAAGGGCAGCGCCTCCTTCTAACTTTCTTCTTTTAGGAAGAACCTGAGAGTTTTGTTGGGGACACTGGGTACATATCAGAAGGATGGATCTGTTTAATTCCAAGCCAGTGACTCACATCTGGCCAATTGCATAGCCCTGTTATGTACCCAACAAAATGCAGCACACCTAGACCATTTGCTTTCAGCTGCTGGCAGGAGAGGGTTCATTTCTAAATTGTGTCTCTCAGCCAGCAATGGCTTCCCTATGATTCAGAAAGAAACACTGACTCATAAGCCATGTAACTAGGCCCTCTTCCTGAGCTGCAGAGTGTTGCCTTGTAGAGAATTCTCCCTGCCCCCAAACTGTGGCTCTGGTTATACATAATCCAGTCTACAGACATCAAGGTCAGAGCAGTGCTTTTTGTACTGTGCTGTGGAAACATCCTGTTCCATCAGATTCATTTGGTCCAAAGCACTTAAATCACTTCTTACTTTCTCTGCCTTTCCTTCATCCCATCATCCCCCATCTCCACCCCCCCTGCCCCCCCCCCCAAAAAAAAAACAACTCCAAGCTCAGCCATAAGAAGTTCTGTTGTTCTAAGCATCCCCTTTTGATTGATGCCTGGGTGAGCTCCCCTCCTCCCCCTGACAAGGAAGCGCACCTCCCTGTTTATATTTTGCTAACAGTTCCTGGTTGTCCTTTCAGGAAATGTCAGTGACCTTCATGTGATAGGCTTAGGATTTATTTTTCTAATGTAAACATAACACGTTTTACCATTCCCATGACCATTTCTCTTTCTTCTCGCACTGCTGTGTCCTGGAGATACATTCTTCCTAATCTGTCAGTGTCCGACTGAATAGCTTCCTACACTGTAAAGAAGTACTTGTATGCAGGTTCTCGAGTCCTTCTTGTAAGTTCCTGGGGGTCAAAAACTAGGTCCTGATATTTTTGTATCCCCCAAAGTGCCTACCGGGTGCACAGACCTGTGTCTGTGCAAAGCAAATATTTGTTAGTGGGAGGTGAAGAGGAAACGACCAGGTTCATAGGCACAGTGAGGTCAACTCTGGCCAGACTTCAAAAGGCGGGGCATTCTGAACAGAGAAGCCTAGTGGTTAAGGTGAGAAGAAGCAATGGAAAGAGTATAAAAGCAGCCTGGCTAGAATTAAAAATGAAATCAGGCTGAGCCAGTAGCAAGAGAGGCCTTAGGAGAAAAAATTGGACTTGGACTATCTCAGAAATGTGACTGTAAGAGTCTTCAGGGAAGATCATATTTAAGAGGTACTGTTTGGTGCACACCTGTAATACCAGCAACTGGAAGGCTAAGGCAGAAGGATCCAAGTTTAACACCAGGCTGAGCAGCTAGCAAGTCTCTGTCTTGGGGAGGGGGGAAGCAAAAAGAGGCTGGGGAGGCACACAGTGGTGGAACCTTTGCCTGGCATGTACGAGGCTCTGGGTTCAATCCCAGTATTAGGGAGGAAAAAAGAGCTGTTGTTTGAGTTTGCTGTGTCCGACCAAAGCCTTCCTTTTGGCTCTCCTGCTCTTGTTTCCTTAGGGCATCAGTCAGCTTTGATATTGCTTGTCTTTTCTAAGGGCATTTTGAGACCCTTTACTTGAAAGTCTAGCAGCAGAATTGTTGAAAATGATCTCCGCTGAAGCCCCCTGTGTCCTGTCCTTTGTTAGAATTCCTTAATGAGTAATTTATCATCCAAAAGAGAAGCCGCCCTTCACTGTTCACTCTGTACTGTGTCATCTGTCCCACTCCCCGCCCCTCTCCTGTCACTTACACTGACAGGTTCTCTGCCATTCTCACAGACTCGTCAGGAGCACCTTTGTTCTGTGTGTGCACCTGTGAGCGTGAACATGTTTCTCCACCTTCTTTATGAATTTTCAGGATTTCCCTTTGGTAAATGTCCTTATCTATTTCTTCTCCCTTTGTTTTCCTGAGGACATTAGCTGGGACCCTATTCCAGTTTTATGGTCGACCCTCAGTATCTGTGGGTGGAAGATTCCCCAACCCTTATATAAAATGGCAAACTATTTGCATAGAACCTACGCACATCCTCCTGTATATTTTAAATTATCTCTAGATTACTCATAATACCTGATACAATATAAAAGCTATCTACATAAATAGTTGTTCTCCTGTAGAGCTTAGGGAATTATAATAAGAAAAAAAAAAGTCTGTACATGTTCAGTACAAACGCAAATTTTTCCTCAAATATTTTTAATGCACAGTTGGTTAAAGGCATGCATGCAGAACCCATGGTAACGGAGGGCCAGCTGACTTTTTAATTCTAACTTCTTGATTTGCCCAGTTTCTTAAAGTTCAAAGAGGTCTCATCCGCTGTGACCCTCTTTCCTGCATATGTCTGTGATCTTTCACTCCCAGGTCAGGTTCATTTGTTTAGGTTTGGCTAGTTGTGTTTTAGCACAATGAGGGCAGAAGGTCTAGACCAGAGTAAAACTTAAGGTGTAAGGAAACCCATGAAGCCCCAGCTGGCTTAGCCCCAAGTTTCCCTATTAGAATACTCCAGAGGCTAATTGAGTGGAGGTAAGGACGCCTTTCCTGCTGTATTCTCTACAGGATGGAACTGGACCCCCTGGGAGTTAACAGAAAACACAGAGCAAACACAAAGCAACTCTACAGGATATACATTTTGGCCAGTGCCATCCTCACATCCCATGGTTGAATATGACTTCTTCTTACTTTTTGAATAGATCTAGACAATCTGGAATCTCAAAGATGGCTTCCTGAAAGAGAGGGTCCCCTCTTATACCCCCCAACACATCACCCTTTTGTGGAGCCCAGGAGAGGCAACTGGCTTAAGGATTCTGGTCACCATATCAGGAATAGTTGTGGGCCTTCATTTTTGCCTTTCCTCATGATTGAGGGGTTTATATTTTCATAGTCTCTGGGACCTTGGGATATGCCCTATCTTTGAAACAATGGCAAAACAGGAGATGGGACATGGTCACATGCCTGAGTTCTTGGAGGTAGCTTCTTAGCCTGTTGGGATCTGAGCCAGGATACAGAAAGCTGTTTCTGGAGGGTAGACTCTGCTTTTTCCTCTCTAAAATGATTAGGTCACAGTATGTCCCTAACTCTTCCCTGTCTCATTCAAGGCTTCCAAAACATTCTTATGTTCCTTCTTTCTTGGAATTAAGAAGCAGCTTTGAATGAGGTTCTTATTTCTTCACCCCATGCTTGGGATCAAACCCGTGGCCTGATGCATGCTAGGCAAGTGCTGTACTACTGAGCTCCACAGCCCCAGGTCTGGGTGGGGCCTCTTTCTGTCTGAGCCTAGCTTGTATGCTGTTGCTTCATTCTTCCTCCCTCCCCCTCTTCTCATAAGCAGACCTGCAGTGCTAACTGCATTATACTTCTCTTGCTTTCTATTTCTCCCCCACAGGAGAGGCCTGAACCCCCCTCATCGTGTCAAGTCCATCTCCATGACAACTTTCACAGAGCCTGAAGTAGTATTTCTACAGTCTCGTGGAAATGAGGTGAGCTCTCACCGAGGGAATGGTTAGATGGTGGTAGTTGCCTTGTCTACCCACGGAGCTTGTCCTCAAGTATAGAAAAACCCCACAGTTTTCTTTTGAGGTCAGGTCTCTCTTAATTTTTTAGTATGTGAGATTTCTTGTATATGTATATTCGTGAATTTAAAGAATCTTAGTTATGTAAATTGTGGTTTGTCCCATTTGAGGAGTGTATGTGTGTGGGGGCGGGGGAGCAGTGTCTCTGTAGGGGTTGCCCCTGGTCAATGGGGATGGGGCAGTTAGCAGTCTGTGTTGCATTCAGAGTTGATGGGCCAGCCCCTCCTAGTGGAGCTGGGGTTGCTCTGCTGCCTTGAGCCTTGACTACCTGGGTTTAAGTCTATGTCATTTACTTGAAAGTAAGTTAAACCCCTTCCTAGGCTAAATCTGCCAATTGGAAAGTTGCTGTCTTTGATTTGAGCAGTACTTCTAACTTGCAGGTGATTAGCTTACTTAGACAGGAGTATCAAGGACTCTGAAAATTCTCTCTGATCTCATCCCCACCCAAATTTAGTTGTCTATAATTCTTATGGCTATTTTCCTTTTTTATTGTGCATCACAATATGTAATTATAAATTTATTTTTTATTTATTTAAGATATGACCTCCCCATTAGATTACAGACTTTGTGAGGATAGAAATTATGTCTTATTTGTTAGATATATCAGATCCTAGCACTGTAAAAATGCTCAGTAAATATTTATTGACGAAGACATTGAAAGTGGTATATCAATGAAAGATACATCTTTTCATATTTCAGTTTCTCTGCTCCATTTTCTCTGTCACCTGGCTCTATTCCTTCAGGTTTGCAGAAAGATTTGGCTGGGTCTTTTTGATGCTCGGACATCTTTAATACCAGACTCTAGAGATCCTCAGAAGGTGAAGGAGTTTCTCCAGGAAAAATACGAGAAGAAAAGATGGTAAGAAAGAGGAAAGAGATTGCTGTGGAAACATGAGTCTAAGATGTGTTTCATCTGACCTTCCAATGTCCAAATTAAAGCTAGGTTTGGGCTGGGTATGGTGGCACATGTCTATAATACCAGCGATTTGGGAGGCAGAGGCAGGAAGATCACAAAGTCAAGACCAGCTTGTGCAACTTAGCGAGACCCTGTCTCAAAAAAAGGGGAGGGGGTCTGGGGATGTGACTCAGTGGTAATGAGCTCTGGTTTCAGTCCTCATTACCAAAAATAAATAAATAACTAGATTAATTAATAGGGCTAGGCATGTAGGTCAGTGGTAAAGCACCCTGGGTTTTATTCCCAGTACCAAAAAAAAAAAAAAGCTAGATTTGGGTTCCACTCAGATTCAATCAGGGCTAAATTCTGGCTTCAAAATAATAAATTAACATGAAAGGACATCTTGTCATCAGCTCCCAACCCAGCAATTTTGATGTCCCCTCTTTTGGGGAGACTGTAGCCTGTAGAGCAAGGAGGTGGGCTTGTAGAAGTGTGAGCTACTTTTTATAACTCCACTGATCTTTATATGGGGAGAGATGGTTGCAAGCTACACATCCTGTAGCTTTATGCTTTTCATCAATCATCTTACCCATGGTTTATGGGTATTCAGTTTTCCTAATGAGGAAAACATCATCTCCATTCTCCCTTGCCTTTTTTATCCCCAGGTTTTCTCTCCTCTTGTTGCCCATTGGCACTTATATATAGTTAGGGTAACTATTAGGTGGAGAAGAAAATGCAGAGAGAAGGGAGACTGACATGGATAAAACTATGTCTTGAGTTCCTCATTAGAGTGTCTCAGAATTAGATGCTTACTGAGCAGGGACTGCTTGTGCTATGGTAGGAGGGGATTTTTATCAGAAGTAACATGAGCTGGAGGACAGGATAGATTGTGAGCACTAAAAGGATGAGATATTGACACCTTTTCTGTGGGCTTGAGAAGGACGAATCTGAAGAAATATCCAGAAAGTAAAAAGGGTGACCTTGAATCAGAAATTGAAAAGTAGGCCCATCAGCATTATTGAATGTATTATTACTTGAAATATGCATGGTTTGAGATGTCAAAATAGGAGGGGGGGAGGGGCTGGGGTTGTGGCTCAGTAGTAAAGTGCTCACCTAGCACGTGCAAGGCACTGGGTTTGATCCTCAGCATCACATAAAAATAAATAAATAAAATAAATGTATTGTGTCCAACTACAACTAAAAATAAATATTATTTTTTTTAAAAAAGAGGATGGGGAGAGGAGGAGAAGGAGACACAACCTAGAGTAAACTCTGTGTTCCTGCAGAAACAATGAGCATCAAAGTGCTAAGGGGCAGCCAGGGCAGTGACTCATGCCAACAATCCCAGCAACTCAGGAGGCTGAGGCAGGAAGATTCCAAGTTCAAGGCCAACCTCAGCAATTTAGCAAGACCCTGTCTCAAAATAAATAAAAAGGGACTGGGAATGTAGTTCAGTGGTAGAGTCCCCCTGGGTTCAATCCCCAATATGGGGGGGGGGGGAAATGATATGCTCAAGGACAAGATCAAGAAAGAGGCAGAACTTTACTAAGTTGCTGAATTCCCTTTACCCACAAAAAGGTGATCAATAAAGAAAAAATAAGAGAGACCTTTGACCCCTATTACCTGTGTTTTCCTAAGCACCTAAGTTGAACATGGTCCAAGGTTTTAGCTCTCTCTTTACAGTCTATTTTTCCTCAAAGGTATGTCCCCCCAGACCAAGTCAAGGGGCCCACTTATACCAAAGGCAGTGCCTCCACCCCCGTCCAGGGTTCCATCCCAGAAGGGAAGCCCCTTCGGACACATCTGGGGGATCCTGTGCCACCTCTCTTGGATGCTGCCTCCACTTCAAGCCAGGTAACTCTCAGAACTGTCCTTCAGGTTTACGCTGAGATTTGGGTTAGACAAGGCAGGCTTGAGACAGGGGTTTCATTTTCCTGCTGTTACCTGTAGCTTGCATCTGTCACCCTGGCCATCCTGTCTTTTGGAAGACAGAGCCCAACAGGAAGTGGTATTTAGGGAAGTCAGTTTCATCTCCAATCCTGACCATTCCCTCTGAGGAACAGAGTGGGGGCCAGGATACTGCTTCTAGTACCTGGAAAGATGAGGCAGCAGCTCCAGGGCACTGTTGGAGACATTCATGTTTATTGCAGGATTACTTGACTAATGCATTCTAAAATATGTGGTTCTGGGAATGGTTGTACTGAGAAAAAAAGGACGATTTGAGTTATGAGAAGAGCTGAGGCTTCTGCCGGGAAGCCTCTCAGTTGAGAGGAGGCGCTCACTCTCTGCTTTCTCCACTTGGCTGTCTGGGGGCTTCCTGGGGAGTCATAGAGGGGTCTGGTTCTATCTAAATGCCATATGCAATTCTTCTCCAAGTCTGTCAGCCAATCTCAGGCTCGGCCAGCCCAGGCCCGGACCTCCCAGCCTCCTCCTCATTCTTGCACCAAGAAAGCCAGCACCGACCTGCTGGCTGACATCGGTGGAGACCCTTTTGCTGCTCCCCAGGCAGTACCTGCTTTTGCGGCATTCCCAGCCTTTGGGGGTAAGTGGAACTTGTGACGAGCACCCCCTATAATATATACACCTATAACACAAGACATTTAGTCCCTTGGGGTGCCAAGGTTTCCTGTGGTTCTAGATCTCTCCACACCAAAGCATGTGATGGTCATTCTGAAGCAGCCTGGATGGAAAGATTCAGGTGAATAATGAGGCAGGGATTCCATTCAGGAGTGCAGACATGAAGCACTGCAGCTGGAGGCCCCTTGCACCTCCTTAAGAACACTAGAGGAGCCTTTTTATTTCTTTCTTTTATAAAGATGGAAGGAAAGGAATTAGCATGTTCCTTTTCCTTGCCTTCTTCCCAGACACCAGCAATAGCCAGTAGAGGGTTGAACAAAGCGATATCTAGTCTCCCTTTTGCTTTTTCAAGCCCCTTGCCCCACCAAAAAAATTCTTTCACATGATCCTGCCATAAACTAGGCCCTTAAAAAAAAGTCATGGAGTGACTTTTATCCTCATGGAGTGAGGATAAAAGATGGTAGGAAATGAACTTGGAGGCTTCTGGATGCCCCTTTCCCCACTTGGGTCTAGTTCTCAGCCCCAGACTCCTTCCGTTTCCCTCTGAAGAGGACCTGTGGAAAGGCAGACGTCCTGTCAGAGCAATCCCTGGTCTTTAGAATCAGCACACACATTATGTAGACATGCATATGCTTTTTCTTCACATAACCTTTATATTCCCTCTGCCTAGTCCAGACACCTACCCATGGAGGTTTTGCCAACTTTGATGCCTTTGGCAGCAGCCCTGGCTCCTCTGCCTTCGGAAGCCTCCCTCCAGCGGGCCAGTCCCTGTTCCAGACCCAGCCAACCCCAGCAGGTAAACTGTCCCACCAGTTTCCTTTTTGTCTTCCAGCAGCATCAGCCGTCCACATCCATACATCACCCTTCATTCACATCCCTGCTGATAAAAAGAACTGTGCAAAGGAAGCAGCACAGAGAAGAAGCTCTAGGAGAGGACGAGGGTGGTCTGACACATGCCTGTCAGGGAGAGGGGGTGCTCTGGTTCTGTTCTTCATGTAAGGAAAGTGGCTGCAGTTGCTGCAGGGGCTATACATTTTCTACCCTGGAAAATATCTGACTGGGAAGTCTGAAGACCTAAGTTGAAGAAAAATTGAGTAAGGACAGGACCTTTTCTCTAAAGTGCTCTGATTTTTTGTGCCATATCCTGTCAAGGGGCTGGGTCAAGTTCACTTTCTTACAAGTACCTACTTATGCCACTGGAGCTCTGTGTAGATCATTTTCTATGTGATAAAAGATGTTGTAAATAAGAAAGCATGAAAGGGACAGGGAGAAGGTATAACATGGAAAACAGACTTTTCTCCAGAAGTCCTCACCCATTCTTCTAAGAGCAAAGGACTGTTAACTTTGGTTCTTATGCAGGAGACTCTCAAGACTCTTTAAAGCATTTGTTCCTCCAAAAGTCCCCAGGCATCAGTCTTTGTAGCCTTCAGACTGTCATTCTTTTAGACATCCTGGACACAAGAGAGGGCAACTGGGGTGCTGTAGAGACCAGATGTTGGGGGACAAGCTAGTGACACACCCTCTCTTTCTCCCTTCCTCTAACCTCCCTTCCCCTGCTCCACTCTCAATGCCAGCCAGTCGGATGCTAACTGGAAGCTGCAGCTTTGGTAAGTTATTCTTCCCACCCTACAGCCTACCCAGGGTCCTCTGATCATAGAGTTTTGAAGTCTGAGAGTGTCCTTTTAAAATGGGTATAGCTCAATGGTAGAGCACATGCTTAGCATACATGAGACCCTAGGTTCAATTCCCAGTACCACAAACCCAAAAAGTTATAAAATTGAGCCACTTTATAGATGAGGCAGTGAAGCAGTTTACCTGATTGTGGAGCCTGCAGAGCGGCAGAGCTGTGACTTCTTGACTCTCACTCTGCCCACAGCCTTCCACTGTGCCACTGAGAATTGCTGTGTTGTTTTTGTTTTTATTTTTTAATGGAGACATTTTATATTGATAAAAATTAAAATTGTCAATTAAATTAAAATTCATAAAGACATTCTTAAAATCATGCCCTTAAAGTAACTGACAGTATAACCTTGAGATTCACAAAGTAAAAACTATTAGACACATTTAATAAACCAATGCAGTAGGAGACTATAATATACTCTCACAAGATAGATAACATTGATAAATAAGCAAGCAAGAAAGAAGAATATAAGTAGAACTTTGTAACCTGTAGATACTTTCTTTTCTTTCCTTCTTTTTATGGTGGTGGCATGCACTCTACCACTGAACTGCATCCCTAACCCAAAATATGTTTTATTGTTAAATATATGACCCTTTTATAATTTGACCATGTACTAGGAAGCAAAAATCTCCATAAATTCCAACAGAGAAACAGTATAGGTCACTTTCTTATAAGTATCATGTGCTGACTACCCCACTGGAACTCCACATAGGTCACTTTCTATGTGATGGAAGATGTTCTTAAAAAAAAACTTCAAGGCATGGAACAGATAGAAAGAAGATATAACATGGAAAACAGACAAAAGTTAATATCCATGAAGTATTTGTTAAGCTTCTGTAAGTAAGAAAGAAAGAATAGGAAGATGGCTAAGAGATACAAACAGATGATACTCAGAAAAAAAAAATATGAAAATAATCCTCAACCTAACAAAGAAGAGAAATGCAACAAGGATAAGATAATTTTTCATATTATATTGGCAAAATTTTTAAAGATTGATATTGGCCAGTATTATGTGGGGAAAAATGGACCCTTTGGGCACTGTTGGCCACAGTATAATTGACATAGGAATATCCAGTTTAGCAAGAGAAAGGGAGTGGGAGCACTAGATGTAACAGCCTAGAGGAGGTTGCTTCTTATTTTATTTTATTTATTTGTTATTCTAGTGATGCTGGGGATTGAACCCAGGGCCTCACACATGCTAAGCACATGCTTGCATCTCTGAGCTATACTCCTAACCCAAGGTTGTTTTTAAACCGGCCCCTTCAGAAGAAATGCCTTCCTAGCATAATTGATTGCTTTAAAGACAAAGACAAAGCTTATGGGACAGATCCAGAGAGAAAGAAGACCTCAGCAGTCCCACAGCTGTCCCAGGCATTGAACCTTTTGTCCAGTATCTAGTTGTCTCAAAAAGCAGACACTCTGTAGCCAAACCCAGGGCCAGTCAACATTTTCAAAGATCTTGCTATGGCCTGGAGCATTCACATAGTATGTCAGGAGGAAGGAAAGATTTCCACTTTGCAGTTGAGAAAATTAGCTCACTCTGGCCAATAACTTGGCTAAAACCAAATGCTGATAAGTGGCAAAATCCATTCACTTTCTGCCAACCCATACAAGAGTGTGCCTATGAATGTGACATAATGAAGTATTGCTCTTGGGGCTGGGGTTGTGGCTCAGCGGTTAGAGCGCTCACCTAGCACCCGCGAGGCCCTGGGTTTGATCCTCAGCACCACATAAAAATAAATAAACAAAATAAAGGTATTGTGTACAACTAAAAAATAAAATATTTTAAAAATATTTTTAAAATATTTTTTTAAAAAAAGAAGTATTGCTCTTACCTACCTTTATGTGGTCCTGGGGTATGGGGGCGGGGGGGGGGGGAACATGATTGGGAATGGAGTAGGAAAATAGATTTTGAGGTGAGTGTTGCTTTTGACAAGCCTGGTTTTATTTTTATATTTCTGAGGAGCAGTATGGAGAGGTGAGATTTCTAAAACTGCAATTTCCCTAAAACCCTTCTAAGGCAAATGTGTAGAAATCAAGCTGCATGGAGTTGAGGCTCTGTAAGTATATAAGCAGCATATGATATGTGCTCAAGGGCTCACTATCACTTTCAGGTGGCTTCATTTGTAAAAATGCCCCCGTGTGTGCAGGGTCCTGAAGCCACCTGGGTTAGGGCCAGCTCTGCCCCCTAGTGTCCACAGTGAGGCACAGCAAGCCTGCAGCCTGGCAGGAGCTGAGCCTCTCCCAACCTGGTAGAGTGGAAGGCCTGGTCCTCACTGGGGAAAGCTCTAGAAACTTGAGGACTCAGGACAGTGCCAAAGAATCTCACTCATCTGAGGAGAGGGAGCTGGGTTTGCTGGAAAGTCCATTTACTCTGAATCAGACAAGGGAAAGGCTGGGGCCTGGAGAATCAGTAGAACTTCACCTGCCTTACAGACTATGGTCAGAGGCTGGATGGCCAAGTGTACACAGTGGCATTATAGCCTTGCCTGGGAGGAAGCTGGGAGCTGTAACTTGTTCATCTAGAAAGCCTGGGCATTTGTGAGGGAGGTGGCCAAGGAGGCACTGACACTCAGGAAGATGAAGCTGTTCTCCAGGACTGGTTGCAGGTAGGCATAGACATCTTGTCACCCCTGCTCCTTTCTGAACTGCTAGGTATTGTCATTTATGCCAAATGCCTGGCACAGGGAAGCTCCCCTCAAGAAGGATAAATACAGCCTTTAGCAGAGGAAGAGCATAGAGATTCAAATTACAGTTCTGAGGCATTCAGAAAGACCCAAAACTGTGCTGATGAGAAATCAGGCTGTGGTCATAGGGGCCAGGGAGCAGTGAAGATTTGGGAGCCAGCCTGGCTTTGCCTTTCCTTTGCCTTGAGTCTTTATTTTTCCCTTTCCCTTTTTCTTCCTCTTGTGTGTCAGGAAAAACAGATGTTTCCGTTTGCAAATGTTACCCCCTTGTCCTTTCCCACTTTCTACAGGGTTTTGTCCCATCGGCCATCTTACCTGAGTTTCCCCGTCACTTTTTCTGGTCCTTTCCTTTTTTCCTACAGATATTTAGTTTTCCATCCTACATAATATTTCTACAGCCTTATCCACACCATCTCTGCATTCTTGCTTGCTTTCTATAACTGTGCCTCTGGAAAGAGGAGTCTGTAGACTTATTTACTTTTTTATCTTCCTGTTTTTCCATTTTTTTATACTTTTTTAAAATATTTTTTCTAGTTGTAGATAGATACAATATCTTTATTTATTCATTGTTATGTGGTGCTGAGGATTGAACCCAGTGCCTCACACGTGTGAAGCAGGTACTCTACCACTGAGCTGCAGCCCCAGCCCAGGTTTTTATACGTTTGAAGGCATAATATACATAGTATTCCACACCTTGATTTTTTTAACCTAACAGTACTATTAAATCTTTTTTGACAATACATTAAGAGCTTCCTTATTCTTTTTTTATTTTTATCTTATTTTTGATGGTGGTGAAGATCAAGTCCAGGGTCTCAAGCTAGACACACACTCTACCATGGAGCTACATCTCCACAGACCTTTTTATTCTTTTTTTTTTTTTTTTAAAGAATTCCCAGCTGGTAAACTTGTCTGTCTTTATTTTTTTGTGGTGTTAGGGATTGAATCCAGGACCTCACACATGCCAGGCAAGCACTTTACCACTAGACCACACCCCTAGCCCCTCCTTATTTTTTATAACTGCATAATACTCTATTATAGTATGTATATGTCATGTTTCATCTAATTAGTCCCTTGTTGATGAATATTTGTGATGGTTTTGCTACTAATTAGTGCTATACTTAATAATTATCCTACATGTGTTATGCTTTGCACATTTGCAAGTTGTATTTGTAAGAAAATTCCTACCAATGAAATTGCTCTAGTGAGGAACACAATTGATACAGAAATAAATGCATATCACTATAAATATGTTGAGGGCTCCAAAGGAAAAAAGGAAAAGGTTGTATGAGATTCTGGACACAGTGGTGCACACCTGTAATCCCAGCAGCTTGGAAGGCTAAGACAGGAGGATCTCAAGTTCATAGCCAGCTTCAGCAACAGCGAGGTGCTCAGCAACTCAGTGAGACCCTTTCTCTTTAAAAAAAAAAAAAAGGACTAGAGATGTGGCTCAGTGGTTGAGTGCCCCTGAGTTCAATCCCTGGTAAACCGCCCCCCACCCCACCCTTCTATGAGAAGAAAACCAAGATCAAACCAGGGGTCAGAGAAGACCCATCCACAGATAGTCTTCTGTTGAGCCCAGGGTGAGCAGGAGCTAGTGGCCATGACCATGGATGGGGCCTATCCTTGAGGCCCTAGTCCAAAAAGGTTCAAGGAGGCCCTTGTTCTCGTGGATTTCCATCTGAAATAGCCATCATGTGTTTGCCTCTGCTCCTGGAAGTGGTTATTTCTGTCATAGGTATGATAGATAGTGCCTTGCATTTGAGTTATACTTCACAGATTTCAAAATCCTTTCACATGTCTCACAGGGTCTTTATGGACACAGTATGAGAGGGCAAGAAAACAAATAGGCTCAGAAGAAGGGGATGGTTTGCCAGAGTCATAGCAAATGGCAGAGCCATGTCTAGACTCCAGTTCTTCTGACTACCCATTCAAATATCCAGTCCTCAAGTACTGGACACTGTCATGCAGTGGACACTTGGTAAAGTGAATTTTACTTCAGTAGTAATGAGTCTTCCAGCACACTAAAAATAAAGCCTTTTTGCATTTGTGGCCACAGTTTACCTTTACAGCAGCCCACAGTGATCACCAGGGTCCCACGATATATAGATAAGTCTGAATACAGACAAGGAAGTTTTTGGGAAATTACAGGGACTTGGGCCAGGGAGCTCCCCCTGAGATGAGATTACTTGGAATCACCAGGACTTTTGGTCCTCGTGCTCTCTAAGGTTTCCATGTGGGCCTTGCCCTCTGTGCTGCTTCTCATTGGCTGTGAAGATGTGGGGGACAGGAGAGCCTCTCAGTTGGCCTGGCCCCGTTTGTGAGCAGTGCACCCAAGCTCAGGGCGTCAGTCAGGGGCCTTCTGCGGGGGCAGCTGGATGGGAGAGTGCTGACCGTTGGAGACTCTGCTTATCAGCTCTGGTGGCATGTGCACAGTCCCTGCACAGCTCCTGAGTGTGCTCCAGACTTGCTGTCCTTCACAGTGCCTCGGCTTGCTCCTTCATGTAACATGTCAATGAAGAAAAATGCTGGTTTGAGGAAGGGACAGACTTTTCCATCTGGGATGGGTCAGCCAAACTAGAGGAGGAGGGAGGAAGGCCTGACATAGGACAAATTATTTTCTTCTCACAGTGGAGGTGTCACATGCTAGGGAGTTTCAGGAGGGCTGGGCTGCCACTGCCCAGAACTCTCAGTGGGAGACAAGTCTCCCAAGTTGGGTGGTCTGTGGAAAATGGGCTGGCTCCAAGAAGCCAGGATGCCCTCCTGTCATCCTTCCACCCCACTCCAAAACAGCCCATCTCCATCTCTTCTTCTGCCCTTTCCTCCTCTCACCCAAATCCTGCCTTTTCTCTCCTGTGGTTGCCCAGGGAGTAGCCAGTCAGCTCCGTTTGCTGCCGCTCCTCTTGCAGCTGCCAGCCAGCCCAATAGCCTCACAGATGTGGGCAGCCTCCTGGGACCTGGAGTGTCAGCTGGAGGTGTCCCTGGCAGGTAGGTCCAGAAATGGAGGGACTCGCCTTAGAGCTAGCAGCACTTTGCCAGCCTGGTTGCTCCCTTGGCCTACTCACCTCCCCTCATGCTCCCTTCTGGTCTGTGAGAGCACCATGGGTTTTTGTCCTCTGATCCCCTGCTCACCTTTTGTCCCTGGTCCTGGAGGAGATGCATCCTGGCTTTTCTCCCTATATGACAGCATCTTCGGGATGGCTGGTCAGGTCCCCACCCTCCAGTCTGCCACACCTGGCGGCAGCAGCAGCAACACAAGCCTTGCCTTTGGAGGTGAGTCCTGTCTGTGGGTACCAGGACCAGGAGAGGAGGGATGCTGGACAGAGAGAGGCACACACCAAATTTAGAGGAATACGCCATCATCACTGAATAAGGCAAATAAGAAAAAAAAAAGATAACTGTCTCTTTCTCCCGCCTCTCTGGTTCCTCCCTGGGCAGCCTTCACCAATCCTTTCACCGCCCCCGCCCAGCTCCAGCTGCCTTCCACCAACCCGTTCCAGCCCAATGGCCTGGCCCCAGGTAAGCCATGTGCACTGTCCCTGCCTTGTTCAGACTCTGCAGAGCGTCAGCTCACCTGCAACTCCCAGCCCTTGCCTTTCACGGTCTCCCCCTACTCCTGCTGATGCTACTATCTACCCGCCCAGCCCAGGCCCTCAGTTCTAGGCTGCCCAGCAGGATAAAGGAAAACCCCATGTCACAGAACTGTAGGATTGGTTTAGGGGAACCAGTTCTGAAGGTTGCTTTCATGTTGACTCATAGTGGCAGTGCTTCTCCTGTCTCCATCATCCTGTGTCCCTCTGGGCACCCAGCTTCTTTCCCTTTTGTGCCCCAAGCCTAAGTCACCAGGAAACTGCACTCCTTTTGTCTGCCCTCATTTAGCCAGGAACTGTGCTCTCCCCACCCTGGCCCTCCACAGCCTCTGCTTCTGTCCCCTCCAACTCCTGGTCATCCCTGTCCTTGGCTCACTGAAGCTCCAGGGCTGGGAAGAGAAGAACAGCTGCAGAGCTGAGCCACATGTGGAGCCATGCCGAGGGGCTCACAGCCGTCAGTTCTCACGGCAGCCCTGTGAGATGTGTGCTGTGCCCATTTTAGAGAAGAGAGAATTAAGGCTCAGAGCAGGGTAAAAACTCTCGTGTGTGCAGTTTGATAGTCACAGAGAGCTGCCCCAGTTCATTGCTGTGCCTGCGTTCATAATGACTGTGCCCTCCACGCCACAAGCCCCATAAGCAGGAAGAGGGCAGGTTCAGAGGTTGCAGGAGAAACTGCAGAGTTCTGGGGTTCATGAAGGATCCTGTGCCCCACTTCCCACCAGGGGGGTTTGGGAAAAGTTGTTCTTAGTCCACCTGCAAGAAACTCGCTTGGTTGAGTCTCATGTCTTATTCCGCAGGACCTGGCTTTGGGATGAGCAGTGCTGGGCCTGGTTTCCCCCAGCCAGTGCCACCCACGGGGGCCTTTGCCAGCACCTTCCCCCCAACACTGTTTCCCCCACAAACCTCACTGGCTCAGCAGCAAAATGGTAAGAAGCCATATGTGCCCTCCTGTGCCCCCTGCTGCTTACTCTTCATGGACTGAGTCCTTTCATGTCCTTGGGGGTTGGTTCCAGCACACCTACAGATGCCAGAATCCACAGATGCTCAAGTCCCTTATATAAAGTGGGGCAGTAGCTGCACGAAACTTCTACATGACTTACAAAACCTAATACAATGTAAATGCTGTGTAAACAGTTGTTTTACCCTACAGTTTAAGAAATAATAATCTAAAAATGCCTATGCC